CGCATAAATTAGTTCCATAGTTGGGGTAACAGAGAAATCGCCGAAAATGGAATTGTAAGAAACATCAATGATTTCCACGCCTCCGCCTTGATTTTAGTTCCATGAGTCATTCAGAGAACCAAGGTGGGAAAAGTTAAGTGTTGAGCTATTGAAAGGGGGTGAGCTCCTCAAAAGTCTAACAAAAGCTCTATTGATGGGTAGTGGGATGAACAAGATACATTCGAAGAGTAGATGAAAGATTATTCTAAGGGTTATATCCTGTCACTCTGAAGTGTTCCTTTTCACATTGTTGCCTTTGTTCGTATCGATTTCTTCAGTCGATGCAGCTCATTCGTTACTCGACAATTTCTGATCCATGTGGCATCGGACTTCCGTCGGCGATATGCTTCTCCTTGAGATTTCCGGCAACAGCATGCATGGTCTCATTCGCAGCACTACAGGTGTTAACCAATTCTTTTTCACCCCAACATCGCATAGTCTTCCAGTATTTTCGATTTGGTATTTTAAGGTAGCTATGGTGACTGAACGAGCTATTGCAATATGGCAAAGTACTCGATATGATTCGTGCAGCTCAAGAATTGGTTTAGCCTTTATATCCTTATCGGTAGTTTTTTCTCTTGATTCTTGCCGACACGCAATCCTTTGTAGGCAGTTCACTTAGGCAAACTATAATACATAAATGCGATTCGAGAGCGCAACTATAATAAGTTAAAAAAGCTTGATTCCACCTCTCTGTGTGGTACTTCCTTCACACAACTGATATCACACATTTCTCTGATATCGCTGTGGAGCGTTGGTAAATTTGTGTACGAGATAATCCGCAGCACGGTCATTCCGTATTATGCACCTCTTCAGTAAGTAGAAAAAGGTGCAGCAATGAATTGATTTCCTAGCCGGTTTTCCTGGTTTTCCCTCCACTCTTGCATCACCTGCCACACCCTGAAGCTTGCCTTCTGATGAATTGCGTTTTTTTAACTCCGCCCAGTAGTGCGCGATGAGGGAGCTGATGCATTCGCTTGACCGACACAAACGCTGATGTTTCTATGAATCGCCGCATATGCGGCGTCTGCACCGCCTCTCGTGTGACGTGTCCTCAATTCCTCTCTCCTCACATGTGTGTGTCAGGACTGGGTGTTATAGGGCCGAAAATTTCGTTTCTTTTTTACGGGCTGTAATTCTGAGTATGCCTCCATTTAGATCTGGGGTCGTTCTGACACTGACCGAAATAGGAGGGCTATTTGGAAGCAACCAATAAAAGCGCTTGAATAGTTACAGCCTTATCTCTAAAATTTTGATTTGGAAGAATTCCATATTGAAGGGAGAGCTATGAGCATGCTTATGCTGTTGATGACGGCCTTCTGAAGATTCCCTGATTCCAGGCTAAATGTGGTATAGCAAGCAGCAGGATTGGAAGTAGGTGTGCTGAAATCCCTTGGTTCGTCCCTCAAGATAACTGGGGAGTGAGGTGAAAAAATTGAACATAGGGGCTTGAATCGGCCGAATGAAGCAGCAGCGAAGCCGTCTTCCCAGGGGTGTTCACCCCCTACGTAACAAAATTTACTAGTGCTCGATATTGTCATCTGCGACGGGGAATAGGCTCTTTACAACTACAGGAAACACTATCACTATCTCGTCAGGTAGCGATGAATCTTCACAAACCTCACGGAAATGAGGAAACAGAAGTAGAATTGTACTGTATTATAGAAAGAGTAAAGTTGAGCTGCTACATTCGGCGGCCTTCCGCCGGACTTAGGCCTCTTGGATCCCCATTGTCCGAAGTAAACCTATACGTGATGTTATCCGAGATCATTTCCAGTGCTACTGATGAAATGCTCTAAAACATCACAAGTTTGTCAACCGAGATAAGTGAACAAGGCCTCTTTCATGATGCTGCTCAGCCACACGTTCCACAAAACGACCTCTCAAGTTCTAAACGGACTGGCGTATGAAGATTCGGTCTGAACTCACTACTCAGGGCAATAGCAATAATACCTCTCCAGTTGACGACAATGTTACTAGACAGGAGAGATTTTGTGTTAGAAATGCTTCGATGTTCAAACTTATGCGAAGATGACCCTCGACGATACATATCGCTCCAGAATCGCGGTTTTTAATGCGGGAGGACAATTTAAAAAAACATAGTGCATATTGCCTTCCAGCAGGTGATTGTGGATGTCGCTTGCCTAGGAATCCAAAGCTTTCAAGACAAAAACTGGAAGAAGTCCGTTTTCGAGTGATCTGGATCTTGAATTCTCCCTCTTTTAGTTGAATCAGCAGCAACAGAAGCGGAGGAAATACAATGCATTCTGTAGATCGGAGGTTCTCCTCCGAAAAAATGTAGAACTATTTGAGAAGTTGAGGTTTCAAAGAACTCATTCGTGAAAAAAACGGCACCAAAATGGGCAACATTGTAGCTCAACCACTCATAATTCCAAAACTAGCTGTCTCCATCAGGATCTATGAAAAAAATTAAGGTGAACAAATAAACATAATACAAACATGGGGCGCAGATTCTGTCAGTCACGATTATTAGTTTCTTCGACCGAATGAAGAAATACACTTGTGGATTGACCGTTGACTAGGTAATAAGTTTAAAATACGTATGGTGAAGAGCACGATTTAGTGACCTGATTCTCACTATAACTAGTAGTAGAGTGTCTGCTCAATTGTGTGAAATTGAACTGCTATGTTAATTTGTAACATTGACGGAAGCTAATCAACACAAGTTTTCATCATCGTGTTTCTGAAGATCTCGAATTGAGAGTGCTCTAGGTCATTATCTCTGTAGCTGCTACTGCGTGGGCAATGGAGGATGAAGACTTCTCTGCACGGTATGCGTATTGCTCAGCCGCCACACCGAGCACCATAAATAGGATACAATTTCTATGCTTTATTCTCTGTGCAATTGATGTGTCAACAATTGGTGGCATTGTCGCACTTTTCGCATTCAACAACGTCGCCATCAAGCGGTAAGCTTCCGCTTGTACTCTTTCCTCTTTACGGACTGGCTTACGATTCCAACATATCATTATCTCGAACTCTACCACTCTATCCAGTGTTTTGGTCAACTTTTCTTCCTTATTTTTCCCTTTTTGTTTTCAGAGTTTACGTTCCCTCTTATTCACGTTATGAGCTCGCTTTTAAAGGCAGTTTTAGTTTGGAATTTAGAGCGATGTTTGTATAGCTCAGCCTGTATAGCTATATAAGTATTATATTTAGTCATGGAGCAGTCAACAAAAGAAAAGCCTGCTTCAAATTAATTGAGTCATTGATTTCAGCAGGACCTTCGATCTACGGTCATCATATCAGCTTCACGAAAATGCTGTTGTTATAAGACTAATGCTCCCCTTGACGCTCTTCCAAACCATCACTTTCGGAATATTCTCGTCAAGTAGTGCAATTATTGCAATGTTTCGAGAGAACTTCTCGCCAGTCGCTTATCGTATAATGTTTGCTTCTTGCTACGTGAGTTCTATGGCTCCACTGAGTTTTCAAGATTCAGCAATCGCAAGATCAGCTATTCTTCCACCTTGAAGAATGCTTCGCTTTCCGAAAGTTGTTATATTGTTATGTTATGCAAAGGTGTTATGTTCTCGGTTTGTGAAAAAGGCGAACTAAGTCACGAGCGTTGACGTTTCTCTGAGTTCAACGACCTTTTTTGAATCTACACACATTTGGAAATTAGTTCCTAAAACTATTTCGATAAAAAAGTTCTGTGTTTAATTTTCTAATGTTCATCAATTGCTTAGCATTATTCCGTTTGCAAGAAAAAAAAACTGAGTGGCAAATATGGTAATGCAGCGAAAATTGGTGTGGTATTCAATGAGAATCAAGCCACATGTCGTCAAAACTAGCTTCTTTGCCAAGCAAGTCTTCTCTATTCTGAAGGAGCGTTGAGCTCTCTTTGTCTGCTTGAGCTGCCGCAATCCATTCAATGCCGAAGTGTTAGGAAATATCTCTTCTCCGCTCAGGAGATATAAAAATGGACAATGAAAATAAGCAATAACTTCGAAAAATGTTTCCAGCTGATTCCCGTCTATACAATGATTTCACCCGCTCTACTCTGGTTTATAATACGACGATCGCGCCTCATGAGGAGGGCGAAGCTGAAGTTGTTGGAGAAAGGGATTTCTTTCTGTATGGAGAAGGATGTCTACTTTCGAGCTTATGCAGACATGTGGAGCAAAGCTCGTCCTCATAGATGAATATCAAGATTGTGCAATATTATAGTGATTTTCTGCTGAAAAGACTCGCGGCAAAGAGCGTAGGAGTCGTTCTAGCTAATATTTGTTAAGCCTTCTGATCATTCAAGAATTGATAGCTCTCTGCCACAATCGTGTATTATCAAGCTTTTACCAGCTTTAATCCCTCCTGTGTGCAACTGCTTGCATATAGCGTACTTATGTGCAACTGTCAATCACTTTGAGTCGCCTGCGCCTCAAAATAACTCTAGTGAAGGGAGGATCATTCTATTAACACGTTGATGACCGTGTGGTATGTGTCATACCACACTTTCACATGGAGTAGACTACTTTTCCTTAATTTTTTTGGCGTTTGTTTCTGTTCCACAACGGTCCATGTACATTATTGGATCCGAAAAACAGTTTTTCATTACTGATGATGAAAACGCTGAAGGATTAATGCCTATTGATGAGAGAATACAAAAAATGTTGAAGCAGTGCGCGCATAACGGCGGTCCTCAACGTGTTAATTCGTATGCACATTTGTTATTTGAGAAGGTGTTCTAAAATTCCGTAATTATCAATGCTCTGTGCAACTTGCATTTAGATGAGAGCTGTGTTTTGTATTTTTCTTCTGCATGTAGAAGGTCAACGAGCGGAAATTTATTCAATACAAAAAAGGCAAAGCATAAAAATCAATTTGTGAGATTGAAAGGCATAAGGGCTGATGCACATTCCGCATACTGAACAGTCAAAAGAAATGAAATTGAAATACGGGGAAGCTTGAGAAACCAACGAAGGTTAGAGCATTATTGAGCTATTTATTCCACATACTATTGTATACCTGAAAATAAACGTCATTCTCTTCAACAGCGGGTCTGGCGAGAGCTTTCAGCTTTGCTTCTTTCAGCTGTCGCGACCATCGTATAGTGAACCACATCAGGACTGGAGACCCAACTGTGTAGTAAGGAATAGTCTAGAATATTGTTACAGATACGAAAAAGATGTGCAGTAATGCTTGAGAAGATTTCTTGTAAAATTGGAAACGCGTGATATGTTTATAGCCTATTTTGTCAGCTTGACTTCTGTAGATTCCATGGTTTCGCTTGAGATTCATCTCCTTTGTAAGCGGAAATTATTCAGAACAGTTGATTCGCTAATGGGCATAGGGATGCCCTCACGTTTCATGTTCTTGTATGTGCACTAGATCGAGACTGATCCAGCAATGTGCTGCTGTAATCAAGTTAAATACTGCCAAAGCTGCCATGTTTTTCCTTACTGTGAGTCGGTCCACAACTTTAATCTTCTGGGCCACCCGGCTGCTTTTCGATTTTGGTTTTTGTTCGGTTTCTGACATATTTGTTCTATAGCTAACGTAATTTTTCTCCGCCAAAAATGGGAGCGGAACGAATGACTATTCGCTGGCATAAAGGCTATGGGCGGAGGCGAACAAGTACTCCTCAAGTCTTCACGAATTTTCTCTGCCACGTTGGGTCGAACGGTCTCAGAAGAAAATAGAATTCGTTTCCCACCCCTTTTTACCTTAGATGTGTTTCGTTTGGGCCGTTCGCCAACTTCCGCATTGGCAATGATAGCAGTAGGTAGGAATTCTCGGCGCATAACACCTTCAGTGTTTCACCAAAATTGGTAATGTTTCGAAGGTATAGTGATAGACCGCCGCGATTTATGCGATTTGCATAAATTATTTTATTGAACAACACTTGTAAATACTAACATTTATTAACATCTCTTATGTCACAGCTCCTAAAAGCAATTATTGACATTACATACATCACAACTTATACAATTTATTTCCTACATTAGTTAACGTTATGGTTGGTTAGCCTTTACTCTGGATTCGTATTGGGTTATTCAATATTGATTTGTGCCTTAGGGTATTGGTCGATAGTGGCTGGAGGTGTTAGTTGGTAGGTCCTTGATTAGTGGTATCGATTGGTGGCCTTGGCTGGTGGTTGAACCAGCCGGCTGGAATGGACTGGCGATGCGGAAGGTGGCAATTTGAACGCGGGTTTTGAGTTACTTAATCGATAGGATGACGTGTCAAGGATCCACCTTGAGATCTTCGTCGCATCATAACTTAAACGTCATGACAAGTAGTGTGAGAGAGGATGACTTTGAGGGGGTTGAATTCTAAATGTCAAAGCTCTAGAACCGTCGAACTACTGTCTTGAGATTTGGTTGCGGCGCAGTACTCGCTTCTCATGAACGGCAAACGTGCCAGACATTCAATCCAAGGACTGGGGATAAGCAAAAGAAACACAGAAATGTTCGTTCATTGAAAATAAGTGTTCGAAGCTAGTGCAGCCACAACGGAATTGAAACACAATTGTTTGAAAATTTCCATGTGTGTAGAGGTGTCCCATTATATAATAGTACCTTGCAACATCAGAGGTGCCCTGTCATTTATTGTCTAGCCTTTTCATAGTCATTCCCAGTAGCGTCTGTGGTAAAACCAATGACGAGGTTGAACGTAACCCTTCAAAGACCCTCAAAGCACTCGTAAAAATCGAAGCAGCGAAATGAAAAAGTTGAAATCTCAGCTGAGAGAATGCTGATTTCATACAGATTTTCTTAGTATTATGTTCAAAACAAGTGTTTGCGTTTGAGTTGAAAGTATGTGTCATTTTTTTGAGTTGAAAAAAATCCCCACGTGGCTGTAGAAAAATTGCATTGCCTTTCTACACATAGTGAAAGCACACTCACATACGAGATCGCAAGCAGAGTCATAAATGTAGTGAGCTCCACCTTGCCGAACAAAAGCGGGAATATTGCCGCACTAATAGAAAACACCAAACAGGCAACTGTTTGGAATATTATAAGCGGTAGAATAATCCGGATGATTGTAGCATTTTCGCAAACCTGATAGGACGCTTTGAGATTGAAACGCGTTCTGAAATTATTCTCCTATAGCTGAGGAGCTATACATCGGTATTCATCTATGAGTAATCTGATACTAAGAGTTGCGCTCAATCAACAACTATCTGCCCCGTTGCAGTTAATTTCTTCGAATTCAAACATCCTTCCTCAGTACAGTTAGCAGCAACCCCAGGTGAGGTCTTGTCGATGAATCTTTTCTGTGGGTGAAATGGAGTGCCTAAGTGTTTCACGGATGTCTCGTTTCCGCTTTTCGAAAGTGCGCGACAATGGTGCTAGATCTTTACGAAGTGTACACATAGTGGCTAATCTCAAAGGCAAACCCCGGGATTGAACTGGTGCTATCAGCGCTTCGTGGTGATAGCTTAGCTGCGGAACGACCTGAAAGTGGGAAGGAAAGCAAGAGAAGTCTTTGAGAACGCTGAAACTAAGGCCTTAACCTTCAGTAGGGTCGGATGTGGTACGATGGCGAGACAGGGCGGTCAAAGAAGACAAAATACGCGAGAGCACGTTGTTCGAGATCTTACAAGTGGTTGTTGGTTTGGTTCGTAGTGATCAGTATGGCATAGGAAGGCAACGCGTCCTGCAAAAGAATCGTAGGGAAAGGGCAGCGAGTATCTACTCTAGAATGATGTACATGCTTCGAGAACTTAGTGGAGGAACAGCATCTTGGTAGAAAGTTCAAAACAGGCAGATTCGCAGCCTTCTTGGCATCATCAGATCCTGCAACCGCAAGCTGTCATTCATCAGAACGGGTTGGAAAGGAAGCGATTTGAATAAAGGAATGATCAGACATCACTATGACCACAAGAGTTATCCTAATTAGTTAATACTGGAAATATCTTTTGGTGTGCTTAAGCAAGTCGTCACTAGGACAAAACACCTTCCCAATGACTCCGAGTGGGGTCACTGCATGGCGCATACAAGAACGGAATGGATCCGCGCCAAGTGCATCATTTTCAATTTACTCCATCGAACTGACGCGTACAGAAGTTTTGAAGGTGTTCAAAGAAGTTCCCTACTACGGCGAGGGAGTAATAGAGTTTTCGAGTGGCTTCGAAAATTTCCTTGACATTTCCTCGACGCAGATTTCTCGCGAACTAGAAAGCGTTCGAAACAACTGGAGCACCTATCAGAAAGCGTAAATCTTCTACTTTACAACGCTTTCCTCCGATTTTCAAAGCATTGCCAATGAAGACAGCTACTGTCTTCCAACTCGCATGTAAATTTCAATTTCCTCGACAATTTCTCGACGTCTCCCACTCTCGAGAATAGGCGTGCTTAGAAAAACGCTCAGCACAATTTAGAAACTAGAAGTCTTGTGCATTCAAAAGCTGCCTTCACTTTCTGAAATGGTTATCAATGAAGAAAGTTATAGTCCTTTGAAATAGGGGGTACATTTGACGATTTTTCCAACTAGCGCGCTCTAGGCACAGCGCGCGACGCGATCGCGGGTAG